CAGTATGTCTAAAGAGAGTTTAGGGGTTTTTTTAAGTAATAAATTTTAAAATAGCTATTACAGTATCAAAATATGTGAAATCCTCACTATAATCTTTTGCATGGGGACTTAAAAGTAGAGTCTCTTCTCTTTATTCTCCCAAACTCATCTTTTTCTCACTTTTCCTAAAATCAAGAATAGTCTTGGGAAAATGAAATCACAGAAGGGCAAATTGAGGCTGAAATAGAAAAAGATGCCCTGATGCTACTTTGACTTACTGATGAGATATCAGAATATATTTTAAAGAGATTTTCTTTTTTTTTTTTTTTTTTTTTTACCTCCACTAAGAAAGCCACTTCTTTCTTTCCTTTCCCACCACCTCCCTGAGTCACCACCAGATATACGAACTCCTTAGTCGAATATTGTAAGGTCTTTGGGTCTTTTGAGACCCATCAGATAAGAGAGACTGGGAGGTCAAAATAGTTAGCTTATTATCAGAGAAAAAGTATCACAAAGAAATCAAAAGGAATGACCTGCATTTTTCCACTACATAAGTTGATCTTTCTTAAATTCTTTTCCCCACAGAAATGGAACCAAGATGTTTTTCTATAAAAATTTTGGTCATATTGAGAAATTATTTAATGTTATCATAAGATTTGTAACTGCTCTGCTAGTTTCCAGAAAACATAATTTTTATAATACAATCTTCAACTTTAGAGAGATGTTTTTAAAAAATCAAGTGAAAAGTTATCAATACCTTCTTCATAATTTCGGTAGTTGAAAATTACATGACATCAGTTTTTCTATTTGTTCCTTATTGGGACAATCAGAGTACAAGTGTTGTCGTTGGATGAAGGGCTGTGTCTACCTGACTCTTTCAGTTAGCCTGTCAATCTAAAGAAATAAAATTTGACTTGACTGCTTCCTGTTGGTAAAGTGAACAAAAGAACAGCCAACATGAATCTGTGTTCTCAGAAAGAGGGAGTCCTTGTGATAGAGCAAAAACTCTCTGAATATGGGATTGGTGTGGCAATGGAGGTAGGGGTGGGGTGCAAGTGGGAGGGCCTTTAATCCCTTCAATCCTTGAGATTCTATATCCCCTGCAGAATTATGAGGAACAGATGTGTGCTTCTGCTGATTATCAAACTAGGATAACTGGAGTCCTCACCAAATCCACCCCATCTCATGTCACTTCCCCAGTTACAGAAGAAGTGGCATTAGGCTCTGGAAAGTGAGCAAGGGACAGCCTAAGGACATGTTCTTTTGAAAATTATATTGGTTAGGGTGGGTGGTAGGATGAGTGGGTGGCTCAGTTGGTTTAGCTTCTGGCTCTTGATTGCAGCTCAGGTCATGATCTCAAGGTTCTGGGATTGAACTCTGTGAGGGGCCCCATGCTAGGTATGAAGCCTACTTAAGAGTCTCCCTCTCCCTCTGCCTGTTCCTCCTCTGTTCTTGATTTTTCTCTCTCAAAAGTTACATTAGTTATCTTCACCTTTGCTACCTTTGCTTAGCAATCTCTTCTGATATTTGCCTCTCTTGATTCCAAGGACTAACTCATTAGGATTAACTTTATCCTGCCTCTTTAAATTGACTGAAATGTCCTTTAATAATCAAGTTGCCTATTAATACAATCGATTTTTAATTTAATGGCTCCTCCTGTCAGGGACAGTACTGATGATATTGATTTTGAAATAATATGCCATTATGCAAATCTCATCTATTTTAGGTGTCTTTGCCAAGCACCTACAGAGGTACTGTTTTCTTTTTCTTCATCTTTGATTTTCCAGTGTAACAGTTATCAAATACTGACACATTTTCTAAAGATTATGAACCTAGTAAATATTGATCATCTAAATTTTCAGTGCTTATTCTATTATACGAATTGTGTGAGGCTTTATGTTTCTCATAGTCCAGAGTAAAGAAAATAAAACTGCTACAGTAGTGGATTAAATTCACCAACGATATGAAACAATGTAATTTGGTTATTTCTATTTACTTGTAAATGAGTGACCATATTGCTTTTTGAGAATAAAACTGGTAGTCGTTTCTAAACAGACTAACTCTATTAGCCAGGTTACTCCATCCATCTCTACTGTGCTCTATTTCTGCAATCTAAAAAAATGTGTGACTGAAATGTTAGGACGGGTTGGGACTGCCAGATGGAGAAAGATAAGTCAAATGCTCTTAGGTAATATAAGCAAGAGCATTGCAACCTGACATTCAGCTTAATGTACCCCATCATCAAGTTGCCTTGATAAGGAATGTTGGGCCATGAGGTCCAGAAGATGGTGACATGGGCCTTCTTATGCCCATCAATACTTTCCCATACTTGGTCTTATGGGTGATTGCTTTAGTAGAGTTGTACAACAGCAATTTATGAATGTAAGACAGGAACATGGAAATTAATACCCCAAATGCATAAATTTGATGCACTGAGAATACACTGAGGATGACAAAGAGGATAGACATTTGGCAGGTTTTGCAAAATAAATTTGATTTCATTTCTAACCTCAAATTCAGTTCTGAAGTAAAGAGCTCATGTATCATTACTTACATCTTGTCTCTCTCTAATAATTTTTAGCTTTTGGATATTGAGGAATGATCAGATATCCTAATGTAGTCAGGGAAGGCTGATTTTATTATATATTTATACACACACACGCACAAACTCTTAAGTAAATGGGTCACTTCTTGAAAACAATTCTACATGTTAGATAGGAACTGTTTGCTGTATACATGTAGTTAGACTTGGTCACACTGTTGGTAGTTTTGTAAATATCTAACTACTTTTTAAAAATGCTTATTGTTTTAGTCATTTACAGCTGCTCATTTGGCCTTAGTATTTCAGTCTTTGAGAACACAGCTGAGATAGAAAAGGAACTGTCATGAACCCCAATTCCTCAGTAATGAGAAATTAGGTATGAGTATCATGCAGAGATGTTCTTTAGCTGAGGAGCAGAGAGATGGTCCAAAGGACAAGAAGCAATCATCACATTTCTACAATGTTAATCCAAGAAAGTAAGACTAAAGCATTTAGCATTAGGGACTGGGAAATTCAGAAAATTAAAAGCAACTTCTACCTTTATTTCATACTAGGAAAGAACACTGAAGCTCTCTGGTATACATAAGTCTAAATGAGACTTGATGGCTTTGATCAATAATTAGAAGAAAAAAAGATTACAAACAAATTTTTTTCCAGAAGATCAACATCCATGACATTAAAACTGTGTTTATGTAAACTCATTGTTTCAAAAACATTAGTCAAAAATGCTCTTGGCCAATGTTACTGGAAAAAAAAAATTTTCAAGGACAAACAAGTGTTTAGGGGGCTCTGAGTAAGTTGTAATACAGGAAGTAATTAAGCCCTTATTAATTAGAAGGTAGCATTAGATTTCTTTTCAGAGTCATCAGGCTTATGGGAAATTGAGATTTGCATAATATTTGCACTTGTCCTACTGTCTGTCAGTCACTGACAAGCAGAGGACCTTAAGGCTAGCAGTGCAAATGGATAGATTAGAGGAAGAATTCTTAACTAAATGCCTTGGTGTCTTGGTAGAGCTTGAAATAGTATAAATGGCATATTTTGTAAGAGTTGAAATTCAGCTTTGGAGGGATGAAAATAACCATTACATCATGACTCTTCATCTCCCACCTTTCAAAACGGCTATTGGGAGGCCTCAATTTCATCTTTAGAAAGACAAATAAAACATGAACATCTTCCCCTTGAGATCTAGGTGGAAAATCTAACTTGAATTAGAGTCTGATGCTAGGACATTGGGTGGGGTAACATAAAAAGAGTTTGATTTTATTTTGTGATGGTCTTCTAATTACTTTTAAATTTTTATGATAAAAATATTGTTTGGAAATACAGTAAAGCAGAATGAAGGCAAAAAAAAAAAAAAAGAAGAAAAAAAAAAGACCCATAGCCAATCACTTACAGATAACCTCTGTTGACATTTTGATGTGATTTACTGATTTGTTCTAAAGGAGTGAATTCCGGGGCACAGCTCACACAATCCTGCGATTAAAGCATTTACTAAATAAAATTTTTCTTCTTATTACTGTGATCTGTGTTCTTTTGCTTTTCCTCCTCATGAAGATGATAAACCTATTAATCCTGAGTGCTACATGCTGCCTAAAATCATTCCATGCCCTTGGGCAGGGGAGCCATGAATCAGGTGACCTCTCTAATCTTGCAGACCTACCCCCTACCCATTCTGGAAGAACAAAGTCACAGTACAGAAGGTTCTCTTCAAGTACGGAACTTTGACTGGAAGTGCAGCTCGTTAACCTTGCTTTCCTCTTCTCTATGTTCCTTCTCTTCTTTTTCTCTTCCCCTTGTTCGTCAATTTCTATTCTTCTCTGTTTCAGCAAAACAATATCAGTCAAGGTAATTGATGATGAGGAGTATGAGAAAAACAAGACCTTCTTCCTTGAGATTGGAGAGCCCCGCCTGGTGGAGATGAGTGAGAAGAAAGGTGGGGAAGCTGCTCCAGGGCTGAGCCCAACAGCTTCTGCTGGCCTGTGCCGCCCCTGGATGCCTGCACTCTTCAGATGTGACTCACAACACACACATCCCTCCACCTATGTAACAGGGCATAGACCTCACCCCGGGGCCACAGTGGGCCCAGCCTGTAGCTCCATCAGCCAATTCCGGCCATTCTGCACATTGCAGGGCTGAGAAATGAATGTTCAGTGCAGTCAATCAGGCCTCCGTTCTGGAAAAGATGGTGCTAATGTTTGCTATGCCAAAATGAAACCAGCTTTCTGATTTCTCTTCTAAGTTGGGGTACTTCCTGACAGCTAAGTGAAGCAGGAAGAATTGGTGAAAGTGGTAAATTGGAAGAAAATGTCACCGAGGCCAGCTGGGAGTAGCCGCGATGCCCTTTTACATACTTCTGGAGGTCCATGTGTTGCCAGTTCAACCTCCATAACTTCACAGTAACATGCAGCTTGGTGAACACCTAGCATGAGCGTGTGACGCCAACCATTTGTTTTGCCTTTGTCTTGTGTTCCCACAGGAAGATCATTACCATTAGAATATTTGACCGTGAGGAATATGAGAAAGAGTGCAGTTTCTCCCTTGTGCTTGAGGAACCAAAATGGATAAGAAGAGGAATGACAGGTGTGAGAGTATACAAAGACATACCAGCGAGAAATTGTACTCTTCTCTCTCCGTGTCTCCTACTCTCACACTTAACTCTCTCCTCTTCCTCGGCTCCAAGTACTATCCTTCATTTCCTTGGAAGCTTTAGCAATTTCATCCCCTTCCCTCATTCACAAGTGCACCAAGCAATGCCCCTTCTCTTCAGGAAATGCCCGCTAACCTGGATTAAAACCAGACTTAAGAAATAACGTAAGAGATTTCTGTAATTCAGAAGCGATGATCTAAAAGCATGCTTTCTGTGTTCAGTTATTCACTATTCAGGAATTGTTCTAGAATATGCTTCTGACTATGAAATCTCCCCTTGAACGTTAGTGATAAAGACTACTTAATGCCTCTTAGCAGCGACCGATGAGTCTAATGGCAACTGATAGGAACTTTCAAAATAATTCGATATTTAGACTCCTTTAGATAACCCAGTTTTCAAAAAATAGATATTTAATAAGAACAAATACCTTTGAAGAATACTGTTGTATACAATGTAGCATCCATCTTGACCTAAGGTTTTTCATATTATCAAATATGATGTTTAAAAGCGACAAGAGGTAGACTAGAATTTAGTCCTTGCTTAAGGCTGAGCCAGCCTTATGCTCGTAAATGTTTTGATCCTTATAGAGTCAACAGTTTTCTAACATATACAGTAAAAAAAGAAAAATAAATAGCAGTATCCTTATAACTAGATTTTTTTTAGTTGATTTATACTTACAGATTTTTAGAAAATATTTGAACAAAGAAGCCAATTTCTTTGTGCTCTTTGATTTTATATCTTATTTTCCATGGCCTATTTTTGATAAGGAAGGGCAGGAATTTTATACCACCCTTAAAGATAATATTTTGTTCTGAATTATTACAAGGGCTTCGTATAATTATCCTCAACTAGTGGCCATTTTAAAGGAATTATGTAAAATGAGCATTCTCCACATTAATAGGTTTTACTCATTGCATACAAACAATTGATGAGTAGCATAGGATTAGACCCCTAACTTTGTAAGAAATTTATACTTTTACATGTAAGGGAAAAAATAAAATATCGTCTATTCCTATATAGACTCAACATTTGGGGGAATTTAATCTTGCATTTATAAGAACTCATGGACTTCAGAGTCCCTCAGGAAGAAAAAAAGTGTATCTCCTGACTTATTCATGTCCCAAAGGTAACAGGAACATTTTGGGGACCCATTTTAATGTGGCCTATTTAATATTCTCCATGGGCAGTAGGCAGAAGGAAAAGCCACTTTGGAAAACTGAGCTGATTTCTTACAAAGATGGGATCAAACATGCCTCATTAACATACAGGGAAAAAGCACTTACTTCTAAATGTATTCCTCCAAAACATTGTCTTTTATCTAAAGGAAGAGCATCTTGGATACAGCTCTTTCAATTGCCATTTTAGTAAAATATGCCCTCATGTGAAAGCAAATTCCTTGATATCACTATCTGGTTTCGTACCCTTCCACGTGGATTCTTGTCACTATAAATAAATGTACTGACTTGTTTTAGAAAGCATCCTCTAATGCCACTACCATTAGTAGGAAAACAGGGCTGGAGACATAATTGTAGCATTCTCCTCCACAACGCCTGAAGTAAGTTGTATATGTTTAGCCAGGTAGCTTTCCCCAAAAATAAATGCCACCGCATAGTCTCGGTTTAAAGCACATAACCTAGGAGACAAATCAAGGATGCCCCAGCCCACCCAACCTCCACTTGCCATGTCAGTTTCCATGGAATTACAGGTCAACAAGAAGTATTGTGACTGTGCACTTTTATAATATGCAGAAGTCATAGATAAAGGCACACAAATAAGTGCTAATTCCTGAGACTCAAGTCTTCAGGGTTTAAAAAACATAAGCATCCCTTGATAGCTAATGAATACCAGATAAGTAGAACCTCCAGAGAGAGCTTTACCTAGTGCCAAAGTCTCCTTCAGGCAGGGCAGCCAAAATGGAAATTTCCTCAGATGTTCTATCTGTTGTCATTGAACGGCAGGTATCAACCTGAGATCCTGGATGATATAAGACTTCCTTCCATACGTCGAATTCAGCAACTCTCGGGTGATATTTAATGAGGAAGACCCAGTCAAATAAAGTTAAGATTAACTTCATAAAGCGTTTCTACTATATGTGATAAACTAGATACGTATAGTATATGTAAACATATATAGTAGAAATGTTTTATTAAGTGCCCAGAAATAACATATAAGGTGAATTGTCTACATCTATAACCGATCACACACACTTGCAAAACTTAGTATCCGGACTGTTTATTTGAAAATATTCCCAATGCCTCATTTCCTTGGGGTGCACCCATGTTAGCAGTACTTCTGTACAGTGGTCTCCTACCACCATAATCAAATTTGCCTGGATTTCTTTCTGCTGATATTCCTCTTACTTTCATTATTCATCTGGTCTCTTATTCTGTGTTTGTCTTTGTCTGTTTCTTTCACAGCCCTGTTATTGAATGAGCTTGGTAAGCATTTCATTTCTTTCATTTCCTTTTCATTTTTCTAAGTTATTTTCCATGAATGTCAGGTGATACAGTACCTTTCTGACTTTTATTTCTGTTGATTTAGTAGCCAGATTGTTGTGTAGGGCCATCGGCTTCATTTTTGTGTAGGTCAGATAGTTTATATTCCATTTTTAGTTTAGTATAATCTTTTTTAAAAACAGTGATTACTTAGGTATGCACGAGAATTAAATTTGTGCACTAAGTCCCATAATCGTAAAAGAATGAGTAGCGATTAAATCATGTGCAGATGTTTTCATTTTTTTTCTTAATTGTAAATATAATTTGGCAAGTTTCTGTATCTTAGATGGGTGATCAGGCAGCCAATGTCACTAGTATTTGTTATTTAGATTGTAAGTTAAATAAATGGTAACATTTCTTCTTTTTTCTTTTTTAGGTGGCTTCACAATAACAGGTATGAATTTTTAAAGCTAATGACGTCGAATTTTATTTTTTTGCTTTCTGTTTTCACCAGATGTTGTTTACATTTTTAAAAACCATTTCTCATTTTTATTTGCTTTTATGAAGGAAAATACCTGTATGGTAAGACAGTTTTTTTTTTTTTTTTAATGTTCTTCATTTTCCCCCAAATGCCCTTAAAATCAAACCAAAACCACATTTAGGTAACCTGCGTTAGTATTTACCTGTGGCACATGGTGTGCTCTTGTTGACTTTACACATTTAACATTTTACACCTTAACAATGTGTGTGCTGTGTTTATGTGTACGCACATTTGTGTGCAGAACCTGTAATTGTTCACATTTTGATACTGGTCAATTTATAAATGTTCACATAGCACTGATGGTGTGCAGTGTACCCTGCCAGATGTACCGGAGTACCAGAATAAACAAGACAATTGCCGACCTTAAGGAAACATAGGAATTGACATCTAGGACTGCTCCATGGCTCAAGTTCAGGCTCCTGCTAATACATGATGCCCTATTGGCAGAGGACAGACCATCCCTTCCCCTCATCCCACATACCAATCTGAGCCTCTTTTTGGGGACTTCAGTTTGAGCCTTATTAACATGGCTGATTCAAGTGCATTGCAAAGTGTTCTCTAAAAACCCAAAATGCCAGTCAAAAAGTTTAAAACTCTCAAATTCATACTGGTATCCAGCCTGTGTTGACCACATTACTGAAACTATTTCAAACACAACTCTAAAGCTATTTTCTTGTGTACAGAAGGAAGATGTTTCCTTACAGGATCCTCCCTTTTGACCTTAAGTATTTTCTCAATTTTTCAGACTCATCTACGCAGATTTAGAGAGGGACAGAAATAATAAATGGTAGGTCTGATTTGTCTGAAGCTGTAGGCTGAAGATGTCTCCAAAGGCATCCTAATGGCCATGGCATTTTTCAGTATGTTGTGCAGAGATCCCTAGTGTGATTATTTTTTTTTCTAAAATCAGCTGAGCCAAAGTATTTAAGGAAGGAAATATTTCCAAAAATTCCCAGTTTGCAAATGCTATGGTGAGGGTGTTGGGGGTTAATTAAATCACTGTTCATGTAAACTTAGGATCAGGTAGTTCCAATATGATTCTGTCAAAAGTGGAACTTTCTGAATGTGAGCAATGTCACATGGGCTATTTGCTCTCCACTTCTTCTCTCTAGACACAGCATTTAATGATGAAATGATCCATAGACTCTCAGAGACACAGAAATTGAAAAGGATAAAAATGCTAAACAGGTCAAGTCCTCACAGAGGAGTTTTAAAATCTGAACATCTGAAGCTCTCCCCAGTCAAGTCTCCCTGATTGTGCACTGCTGAAGATTCTATTTTTGAATCTAAAGTGTGGGAATTTACATCTATTTTTTAAACTTTTATCTCATTTTTCTCATCCCATGTTTGAATTCACTGAAGTCTTCTTGGAAATACTCTGCTCCTGTCACCCAATAAGTTGGATCCTTGTGAGATTTGAGGGAGGTGGAAATTGGGCAAGGCAGCCTTCATGGCTTCTGAAATAATTAGAAATTAAAAAGTCAACCATTAGAGAACTATTGTAGTGTCTAGCAGCACCTTCAGTCCTATGCAGCCTGATAATGAGATCTTCACTGAAAACTCTTTGGCTACAGAATGCCTTGTTAAAATACATTGATGTATTTAGATATTGTCCTATTTTCCTTATCGTTGCATATGTCAGGATTTTGCTTTTACAGACTTCCTTTTGTGTCACTTGAAGCATCTTCCCTTTTAAGTATCTAGGTAATAATAGGATTCTAGTTTTCTTTTCCCAGAAATTGTTCATAACATGTTCTAGAATATCTGTCCAGTAATGCCCAACATTTCACGCCTCGGACACATCTTGCATTCAAGACACCAAAGTCACTTCTTCCAAAGACTTCTATCATTTCATGTACTACTTCATTAAATTCTTTCTTAAAGCTTTAATTTGAAATAGTGGGTTTTCTATTGTTGCCACCTCTTCCCAACACTCAAAATTGATACAGTTAGAACAAGAGAATGTTCCAAAACTCTCTGGGAATCTCACCTTATATGAACCTTTTTCTCCTGAGCTGGGTCAGAATACCTGAGATCCACTCTCTACAGATGCCCTTGGGAAGGTTCTAAAACTTAAGTCTAAACAGTGAAAAGCAGCTTTAAGCCTAAAGAACTTTTCTTTGAAGTCACGTTGAGGCTTTTGAAGTCAAGGCTTTGAGATGCAGGGGCAATAGAGAAGAATTAATCTAGCCCTTGGACTCTGCCTACAGCTTTTCTGTGGTCTTGTGCAGCTGAGTGTGAAAATCTGAATTTGAAGCAGAATATATGTAAATTGAAAAAGTCATTTGGTCCACAGCCCAATATATTTCAGAGATTTCATTAGTGGTGGATATTAAGTGCTGGAGGTGATTTTGGAATTTGCAAATCTTTATGTGTTCCTCCTAGACCTTGCCTCATTGAAAGGTGCCTCATTGAAAGGCCCTTGTTTGGACCTATGATCTCATCCTCCCTTGACCTTTTTGGCATAAAACATGATAACCCCTCTATACATTAAAGCTCATTAGAGTGTGTAATTCAGTATATCATTTAATCTTCAACCTTACAGAGTAAGTTATTATTGTTCTCACTTATATGAAGGAAATGAAGGTTGAAAGAGATTAATCAATTGATAAATCAATATACCCCCAAATCACCCATCTGGATTCAGAGCCTGCCCCTCTGATGAGCGTTCTAACCCTCGCACTTTCATTTCCTCCCTTTCAACCTCTTTATTCCTACCTTCATATTAACCTCTTGACAATCCAAAGCCCATCTGTGTCTCATAAACACCATCAGTGTGAATTCCAGTCAAATGAAAAATGAAGGGGACCTCAGGACGGGGAAACTAGAGCACATTAATTTGGGTTGTTTAAAAAAATTAAGTATTCTGGTTCAATTTGGAGAAGAGAGAGGCATCTCTGATTCCCCAAACAGGCAGCCATAGAGTTATACATTAAAAGTCATTATATTTCTCTATAAGTTGCTCTCCCAATTATATTATTCTCATCATACAATAGACTTCGCAAGGTACATGGCTTTTTCAGAAAGCCAAAGTATGAAAATTCTGACACCTTCACACACTTTAATCACTCCAGTACCTAGGGTGGAGGAACCAACCCCCTTCAACTTTAGCTTTGTTTACACTTGGGGAAACTGAGTCTCAGAGAAAAGAGTGCTTTGCCCAAACTTGGATATCAAGCATTTGGCAGAGTTGGTACCAAGTTCCAATTTCACTGATTCTCAGATCAGTTAAATGTAGCTCTTGGTAGAATCAACAGCAGGTGGGTTTAGCAGCCAACTGAGCCAGAAGTTTAATGAAAACCCTAGGCCCAGTTAATCCAATCGTTACTGTGATGATGGCATACCCTTGCAAAGCCTTCCAGTGGATAAAACATTCTCCTGTTCAGACTGCCCAGAAAATAAATAAGCATGTTCCCAGTTGCTATGTTACTAGACCCTTAAACAAAACTATGATGTGGACAGAACAGGTACTTTTATCCCAATGTACATGTGGGAAAACTGGGAAATAGCCTGCTCAAGGCTATGTCATTGCCACCAATATGCTTCAAAACCAGGTTTCCTGTCATCACACTAAGTGCTTTCCATTGTTTCATGATGACTCTGAAGCAGTCACTGAAGGACATGGACCCTCCACTTCAGATGCTTGCACGAATCTAGCTGCACCCCCTACTGAGGAGCGTGTAGTTCATTCACATCTGGCTTGGCTCCTAGAACACTTACCCCCATTTATTTGCTCACTTCTGTGACCTCCGTAGCAGTAACTCAATCCCCAAACTAACACTGCTTGTGATGTGTGCATCTGGATGTGATGTTTAGCTTACTAATTCCACAAAGCTCTGGTGGCAAACCAGTACAGTCCATTCTGCTGATTTTCTGCCTGTCCTTTTCGCTAGGCCAACCTGTCTTCCGGAAAGTTCATGCTAGAGAACATCCGATCCCCTCTACTGTAATCACGATTGCAGGTACTCATTGCATCATGGTCCTTGAAAACCACAGTTTAGTTAGCTTGAAGTTAACTCCCCTCAAGTGTTCTTTAAGTCTTTAGACATTAAACAATTTGGCCCCTGTCCCCTCTAGAACATCGCTAAAGAATGCAGTGGCTTCTCTGCAGCTGGGAGTATGGTGGGTCATCAACAATAACACAAGGGTATCTGCACAGGACAGGACGCATGGTAGAGGGAGCAGATGGACCTGAAGAGAAGATTGGCTCCCATGGCCTCTCCCTCTCCAGTTTCAACATATTCCAGATTGTTTGCAAGTCTCGCTTCTCAAACATGGGTCTTTCATTCCAAGTGTAATGAAGTCTCTTTCAAAGCAAGCTGTATTTCTTTCCAGAGCCTGCCTTTCTTGCCTCCAGACAATCTGATGATAGCCACATATGCACTGATGATAGTACATCTGTGGAGGTTCCCTAGAAGGAACATTGCCAAGGTGACCAGAGGATCACAACCATCCCAAATCTACCGTAAGCTTAGAGCCCAGACATTGTCTCCAAGTCTCTGGATGAGGACAAGGATATTCACTCCTCAGTCATCACCATCGCCATAAGTGGCCACGGTGGTAGAAACACTTCCTCCTGCCCCAGGAGGACTTTCCTCATCCTCACATCACACTTCCCTACTCAATAATCCTGATATTGGCTATATCACAGGATTGTTTTTTGTCCTGTCAATAATGATTTTATGGGGTGCCTGGGTGGCTCAGTTGAGCATCCAACTTTGGCTCAGATCATAATCTCGTAGTATTGTGGGTTTGGGTCCCGAATTAGGCTCTCTGCTGTCAGCACGGAGCCTGCTTTGGATCCACTGTCTCCCTCTCTCTCTGCCCATCCCTGCTTTGCACTCTCTCTCCCTCTCCCCAAAATAAATAAACATTAAAAAAGAATACTGATTTTAACAGTGGGTATGAATTATCCATTTGATCTTTAAGTTGTGTTTGTTGGTTAAGCCTATGATGCTATGTGATGTACTATCAACTTCTCAATTAAATATGGTGAATTTTAAAAGTCTACTTGTATATGTATGCAGAGACAGAGACAGAGAACGAATTTTCTATCTGACGAGCCAAACTAAGTATGCTATCATTGTGCATATATAAGGAGGTGAAACTGACTTGGCCAAAGGAAAATGGACTGTGTTTGATCCAGCATTCAAAGTGAAAAGGAAACAAAATAAAACAAGGTGAAAAGGAAACAGATATAATAGACCATCCAGACAGATGGTGTTAAACTGTTTCCCCCAATCAATAAAAGATATCTTAAGAGAGGACACTTTTTTTAAGTTTATTCATTTTATTTTGAGAGAGACAGGAACAGCATGAGCAGGGGAGGGGCAGAGAGAGAGAGAGAGAGAGAGATTGAATACCAAGCAGGCTCCCCACTGTCCACACAGAGCCTGATGCAGGGCTCGAATTCATGACCTGAACCAAAACTGAGAGTCAGACGCTTAATCAACTGTGCCACCCAGGTGCCCCAAAGAGAGGAGACACTTTTTAAAAAATAGATCGGTATTTGCCAGTATCAAAACTCTGCACCACTAAGATGCTAATTTATCAGTATCATCTTAGAGCAACACTAGGATGTATCTAGCTGCCTCCTCTCCATCACATAGAATTCCCTCTTAAATGTTCATGACATTTATTAAATGAAAATAGCCCTGACTCTCCCATGACATTATGCCTTGGTGCTTGGACTTCTGTCTGCCTGGAATGCCCCCTTCTTACTATACCACCACCTAGCCAACCTTACCACCAACTTCGCCTGGCAAGCTTCCCTGCAAATTCCAAGGCCAATTTCAAATATTTCCTCTTTCCTGAAGGCTTCCCTGACACCTTTAGACAGAGCAAGCTGCTTCCTCACCCTGATCCCTCATCCCTTACCTTGCTGCATTTGAAGTCTTCCCACCTCTGTGCCTCATTTCTCAAGTGAACAACAAAGGATCTTTATATGCATAGAGCATATGTCAGGAACTAGTTACAGATATAATAGCACCAAACTAAGCATTTCATCCTGATCAGAAGAATGGAAAGATGACTAGAAAGGAAATAAATAACCTTTTTAATCATTGTGATTTGATTTCATTTACTACCATGTCCATTTATTTAATGCCATGTTCCAAATAATTTCATGTTTGTGAAATGTGGCATTAAACAATGCTACCACATCACCTTTCTCTTGTAATTTCCCCAGTTTTCTACATTTAAAGCAATTTGACATGTACAAGTAAACTACAGAAAAGGAAGCCATAATAAATATTCTCTCTCCATGGCTTTGCAATTCAAATAATAATGCTGGCTGTTCTTCTGGAAAAATAATGTTTATTTGCTGTAAGTCTCTAAGACATCCATGGGCAGCCATGGTTTTGAACAAAGATACTAAAAGAAACTGCGGCCATGAAAACTACCCATAACATTATCCTGGGTTCAAGGATCAGAAAGCAGGGAATCAAAATATTGATTTGAGCACTGGGTAGATTGGATATCATATATCTCAGCCGACCACTGCCTTGACTACACACACATAATTTCAAGGGCAAATCTGGAGGACACCAGTTGGAACTTTTTGCCTTTTCTTGGGTCATAACTTCCCAAGCCTACTATAAAAACACTACTACTTCTGCAGTTAAAATTAATCTCCTTGCACTTCTCCTTTGCATCTCTTAACATTTAGCAGTTTCTGGCCAGTCCAAAATCACTTATGTTTTAGTCTCCATCTAATTTCATTGTGGCCATGTAAGAATTAGGGATAGAAAAGCAGATTCTAAAATATCCTTTTAGGAAGACACTACTGAATACGTACTAAAGCATTAATATGCTACATCCTGCTTCTGCACTGGGTTGGTTTTGACACTTGGTATTTAAAATGCTAGCAGTACTCCTAGCCCATCTGCTCTGTGCTCTAGCAGTGAACTGGCCAAGGAACTGATTCTCTACAGAATTTGCTAGAGTATCAAATGGAACCACCACAGCAATGTCCTCACCAGAGGGAAACCATGCCTTTGGAAGGAATGAGAGGTATGGACTCCTGCAGAAGCTGATGCCTATATAAATACAAAAGGCAAGAAGACTGGGCTAGAAGTCCCTCCCTTTCTCGTGTTTCCTCAGTCAAGAGATTCCTACAGCAAGCAGTTTGCCAGGAAAGTTCTAGAAGCAAAGGCATCAGGGCTGAGGTCTTTTCCATACCACTCATACTACTTCCTTGGAGATGAGGTACACTTGACTTGACTCTCACGGGAAGTAGCCTGTCTTGTTTCCGCATCCTGGGCCTGAAGGACAAGGAGGTAGAGTGAGTACAGGAATGGTGTTTGCCATGTGCGTGGCCTTTTCAGTCTGAGATTTATCCTAATGACCTTCACACAGAGAGGAGCCAACTGTGAGCTTCCCCTCATTAATGGACTCTCAAGTCCATTAACATTTTCTTAACACCCACCAGCCTCTCCTGGAGCGTAAGCTACATAGTGGTTCTGGAAATAATCACGCTCACATGGTGAGTAGTATTAACTCCCAAGGCTTCACCTTTGCCCTCCCTGTTTACTTTAAGATGAATGTGGTCCAGATCTTCCTAACAAATCTCAACTTTGCACCACAGAGAGGAAGCACTAGAGCATAGGCATCTTTGTGAAACATGGACTGGATGGTTTGCTTCTTAACTTGCAACAGGAGCTCTGGCTAAGATCAAAATTTCTCTTCAGCTAATTTGGTGGCACTGGGGCATTTTTCTGTTGTCTCTAGAAAGTGGAGAGGAGGAGGCCCAATTCCTCCATCCCTTGTGTCATTCTAGCACTTTTCATTGTGGTTCCTTTGGTCACCTGCTAGAGGAATGTATAAAAACAGCCAGGGGAACCAGCATCACAGGGGACAGCTGGGTGAGTCCCTTAGCTGATACCACGCAGGCAGAGTATTTCCCAGTGATCTGCCCCGACCAGCTCCTTTCCTGATCTGCACTTTGGCTTGTGCTCAGGTTGTGGGTCATTATAGTCACTTGCTGTTAACAGTGATGTGCTGCCTGTCAGGCCAGCAATTCTCCCCGCCAGCCTTATGATCTTCCCCAAGGGACTTTTAGTAGGTCATTAGGGCTTCCTTCCTTCTCGGTTTTCTTGTAGCAGAACCCAGCGATTTCCAAAGAGAATTGAGCACAGGGCTCAATTTATTGCCCTTCCCTTTCACAGAGGAATATGATGACAAGCAGCCGCTGACCAGTAAAGAGGAAGAGGAGAGGCGCATTGCAGAAATGGGGCGCCCCGTTCTCGGAGAACACACCAAGCTGGAAGTGATCATTGAAGAATCCTATGAATTCAAGGTATGCTCATGGACACTGCCCACGGGGGAGGCCAGGCCCATCTAGGGACCAAGACTGTCCATAGTGTCGGCAATCTCAGCAACTGGCTCATTAACTGTGAGGTTTCTCGGAGCAGAACTGGAATTAGAGAGGTAGGGAACCTAGAGGTCCTGCAAACTGAACAGTATCAGAACCAGGGGCCAGTGTGTGGCATCTGTCACTGCACAGGGTCAGAGGTGCACCAAAGGGAAGATGCTATCTGAGGAGAGAGCAAGAAGCAAAGGTGGATTCCAAGAGATTGTTATGTGTGGAGGAAACCAGCTCTATCTGAAGATGCAAACAAACCCATTAGAAGCAAACCATTCACACTGCTGACAGTTAGGAGGCTTTGGTTTTGGAGGGGGAAGGGGAAGCTCTTCCTATAAAACATCCATCCCATTGACAAGTTCTCATTTATAATTAGCCTTCCTCTTCAGATCCTGGGACATTTTAGCACAGTCAACTTACTGAAGGTATATAGTGCCTATAACCAGAGAGCTTACAACTGAGCAGATAAAATTGGATTCCTGGTTCTCTGGATGACGAAGTCATTAAGTTAAGCGGATGGGCTTTAGGGTGAGCTTAGAATTTTGAGGTGAAACTTGCTGTCCATTTTAGAGGCTCCCTTGGTCCCTACCCCACCTACCATCCCTCCTCGTCCACACAGCCCTGACAGCTGAGAAGACGCCATGAGAGCCACCCACGAATTCTAGAGTGGGGCATGAAAAGGAACCTCATTCTCTGGTTTTCCAGAACTACAGACCCAGAGTGCAGCTGTCTTTTCCCCAATTATTTTTCAAAGGCAGACTCTGCTCCTGTTTGGAAAACCAGAATGAGGATCCCAAAAGGGAGAATCAGGCCAGGAACTTAGAAGCCTCAGTATTTTCTGTCGATGTTTCATAGTACTGGCCTCTTTTCCTTTAGCTGGATCCATTAATTTTTTTTTAATTAGTTCACAAATTGAGGCGCCTGATAGGGGACAAGTAGAAGGAAAAATATCTTTTGCAACTAAAGTGGAATTTTTTAAAGATAAAAAATGCAATTAAACATTCCCCTTTGGGCTGCTGCAAATCTGTTTCTTTCACCCATTCCCATGCAAAGGAGGAGCAGGGGTAAACATTGGGACCGGTGCTCTCTAGGTAGACCCCAAGTATCAGAGCTCACCTGTTGTTTGATCTAGAACCTGCTGACTGACATACACACACAGGTTCCCCCTGATTCCATGGGTACAGATATCTCAGACTGTCCATTTCCACGGACCAGTCGGTCCAGATGTCGCCAACCTCACTCTTCCTCATGCCCCCTCTTTCCACCTGGAATCAGTGAGCCTGGTGCACCTGCTAGAGTAGAGATTCCCCTACTTGGCATTTCTGTGCAAGTTTGCCTCCCAACCCTCCAGGGCTCTCTTGGGGAATAATTATATGCTCTCTCCTTTATGGGACAGCCTGCCTTCACCTTCCATGCACCCAAGACTAAGAAGAGCAGTCACAGAAACTCTCTGTAGGAAGCATTGGATTGGAGATGGCCAGGCACAGTCTTCCAGGCAGCAAAGCTTTCTTGGGTCCAAAGCTTTCTCTTGTAACCATTCCAATGACTTGGACATTTGAAAGTCACCCGGTCTCTTTACATAAGTCCACTTGTTCAGGGTTCTTGTCTTTCTAGAATAGCTTCCATAGGCTATTTCCTCCCATCTCCTCAAAGTTCATCAGTAGTTACTATGAACAGGAAAGGGAGACTGAGGGCATGTTCCTGAAGGACCCTCGAATATCAATATTGACATAATGTTATTCTTTTAAGAAATTTATGTTTTTTTGGCCAAAGCTGTTTTTAAAGAACTTATTCAGAACTCTTAGAACTCTTAAAGACCCAGATCTGGGTTATACCTCAGAGTGTCCCACTCAGCCCACCGGGTTCCCGTTTACCATTTTGTGACTAAGGGTTTGGCTTCCTGACACCCACTGCTGATGGTGAGGTTATGACAATAGCCTACGGGTCTAGTGCAGTGAAGAGTTCAAATTCATCTTACTTAATGCCCCCTCCTCCCATGGATCAAGGGAGGACAAATATGCAAATTAAATCCTCAGAAGAACCAGGCCATCCCATACTTCCCAAGAGTCAAGGTGAATTAAAGTTTATAATCTACCCTGGGTTTTTCATACACACAAATTTTAACTTTCATGTATTTTAAAACTTTGTTCTTTAGAGAGAGTTCTTGAGGCAAGTCTGTGTGTTTAATGATTACAGCAGTTTATCTCTTTAACTGTTTATCTCCAAGGTGATGGGATTCTCTACCTTGGCATCAGAACAGAGGGCTCCTTTGGAGAGACCTTCTCCAAGTTTCCATTACATTTAGGAAAAGTCAAAGTCATTTCTTATTATATCATACACAGAACTGTGAATTGGCATCAGCCAAGACACTCAGTGTGCTTGATAAAATGGGCCTGAGCCCAGAGAGAAAAGACATGCCTGTCATGTGCTTGAAGTTACTGTGGCCAAGAGCAGTGACGGTGACAGTGGTTATCAAGGGCACTAGCAGTTCTAGACACCAGGCTAGTGAGGAAAGGTCACCACCCTAAGGAAAACATCTAGCAAAGAACGATGTTGAAAATATACAGTAGGCCAGTTGGAGATGGGCCCTTTCATGCTTATTATCATCTCCATGTTCAGATGACTCTCGCTAAAATAGCACACTTGACATTCTGATTGAGCTCTGGCCTTCTGTACAAGGCTGCTCAGGTCTCATTTTCTTTACTCCTGGTTAGCTTATAACTTGCTTTCTCTCTCTCTTGCTCACAAACCATAGTCAGTTCACATGCTTTGCATTAAACATGTACAGATGTTGACCTAAGACAAATAATATGTGTTTTCTGCCTCTCTGCAATTAGTGGGGATTCGAGGATGCTCTGACAGTAAGTGCGGATGTGTGGTAAACTAGTCAATGCGGTAGTCTCTCTGGGCAGTGTAGCCTCGTGACCTGGAAGTGACCCTTCTCCCTGTAGTTGCTATGACTTGTGGTAGTGCTTTGGGTGCATCTGCCTGCTTAGTTTTCCTGTGAACGTTTGGCTGTTCCTGTTGTTACCTTAACTGACATTTAGAAAGCTGGAGAGTGCTAATTGTAGAAAGCCAAGTGCTTAAAAAAAAAAAAAAGCCTAAGAGAGAAAAAGAAGTCTAAAGAGAAAAGTAGCAGAGGGGGAAATTTAGTACAATGTCAATTGCAATGTGCCCTAAACCATACAAATTAAACTTTTCTTGTCTCGCTTTTTCTTGTACAGAAGTAGAGTTAGAACGAATTCTCTAACAACGGCCAGGCTGACAAAATCAGTAGCCACAGAAAAAATCCATTTATTGATGATACTGCAGCAGCAATCATGGGGCTCTGCTGTCTGGCTGCATTTCACTGATAAACAAAAGCACAATAATAACAGTTTTTAGTTTCATAATCTATCTGCCAATTCTCGCTCTTCAAAAATATGTAATGCTGAGCAGGCCATATACTAATTCAGTTATAGACAGCACACTACAGATGAAGCCAGGAAAGAAGCAAGTTCATAAAGCATTCAAGGGGAAGCGATGGGCTTCTGAAACGTCTGCTCTTCTAAATACTGAGGCCATTCTTCACTGGCCATTAGGCAGTGAAAGAGGCTCGAATTTGCTGTGAAGCAATCTCAACTTCTGAAGGGTTCCAGGCGAGGGCTGTGCTTGTTTGCATAATCATAACAGTGTTTGATATCAATACTGTTGTTCTGAGCCTAACAGCCCCTACCCTTTGTGTAACCCTGGGGTTTCAAAATCAACAAGGTCTTGGATTTCCCAAGGCTTTAACCAACCCAGCAGTTATCTTATTCTTTCTGACCCTTCTAGAGTACCGTGGACAAACTTATTAAGAAGACAAACTTAGCCCTCGTGGTGGGGACAAACAGCTGGAGAGAGCAGTTTATTGAAGCCATCACAGTGAGTGCTGGTGAGTACCTTTCTCTACATGTTGTATGACAACAGCCCACGCTGAGCTTGCTTTTCCTACTGTCACCTCTTGGTGTATCACAAAGCGTCAGCAAACTTCCAGGGTAAAATTAGAAGAGAAATAAATGTATCGGTGGCATACCTGCACATTTCAGAGACTTACTTAGACTTTCTAGGTGAAGCAAATGTCTTCAAACATGGCATTCTTCTCCATCTACATTATGTCTTTCTTTCTGGAAATAGATAAGATAAACATAAAGACTTTTAAGAAATTTGTGACTAATTCACAGCCAGCCAGTCACAAGGCTTTGTCTGGAAAATTCCCTAAAGCAGAAGTGGCCAAACGAAGGTCACTAAGGAAGGAGCAAAATGCTAGGTGGCACAAGGTGACATTAAGACACTTTATCACTATCGTCTCTGTCATTTTACACTCTCTTCAACCATGTCTAACAGATAAGCGTTTGCACTTCTCTAGAAGTACAAATACAATCACATTCTGTTTCTCCCTGTATAAGTCAAGTACAGTCTTATTTAGGAAAATCCTACCAAAATGGAGTTGTTTTCAAACTCAAGGAGTCAGAGATCCAAGGAATTAAATATAGAAAGAAACATCTTTTTCCTGGATTCGCAAACCTTGTCCACTGTCTGGTTGTATAAAGATGGAGGAAAGTCCCTCTCCAAGATTCATGAAAGCAACACCACTGTGGGATTTTCCCCCCTTAATTCTTCTGTTCCATCTCTACTGGTTCTTTCTCTTTAGGATTCTCCACAGGTTCATCTTCTACTGGTGCAGCTACTGAACAAAACTAGAATGTTCTAAATAGTGATCCCACTGAAAAGTATGGAACCAACATCACTGGCAGTTAGGTCGTGACTGCTAACACAGCCCCCTCTTTCCAATCTGCCATATAATTATTTTGACAGAACTCCGAACTTCTGTGGGAACAGAGGGTGGTAGAATTTTTGTGCCTCTTTATGATTAATGCTGTTTATAATCACACTTTGGTTTCTGGCAATTGAGTAAATAAAGGAAACTTATGAACATTAAGTAGTGGGAAAATGCTTGGAGACTAGATTTGGAATTGACCTGCAAATTCTCCTCAGGGGAGGGGAAAACTCCCTGTCTTAGTCCCCTCGGGCTGCCTTTACCAAATACCAGAGACTGGGTAGCTTATAAACAAGCTCACAGTTCAGGGGCCTGAGAAGCCCAAGATCAAGGCACTGGCAGATTTGGTGAGGCTTGCTTCCTGTTTCACACAGAAACTTCACACTGTCTCCTCACTTGTCCTGACACTGAGGAACAGGCAAGAGATTTCTCAGGGATCTTTTTATTTTTTATTGTTTTTTAAGTTTACTTATTTATTTTGAGAGACAGAGAGAGAGAGAGAGAGAGAGAGAGAGAGAGAGAGCAAGGGAAGGGCAGAGAGAGGGAGAGAGAGAATCCCAAGCAGGCTCCACACTGTAAGCACAGAGCCTGATAAAGGGCTTGAACTCATGAACCATGAGATCTTGACCTGAGTCAAAATCAGGAGTTAGACACTTAACTGACTGAGTCACTCAGGGACCCCTGGGGTCTTCTTTATAAGGGCTTTATCCTCATAGCCTAATCACTTCCCAAAGACCCCACCTTCTAATACCATCATATTGGGGATTGGGTTTCAACATATGAATTTGGGGGTGGGGGGCACAGTCTATATCACTTGCTCATTATGGCTTATGTTTTTCTTTAAATGGAACATTAGTATCTGAGGCATGAGCTAGTCTCTCCTCTTCATGGAGACAAAAACTAAAAGGACGAAAATGGCTTGAATAAGAAATTGCTGATGAGGCCAGTTGAACACATTAAAAATAATGAAATTGTTTTATGGGCTTTGATGCATCAGAATCGAAACATTAAGAACAGTAAAAGCAGCATAAACTTTAATGAACCATTCCCAATGGTTCCCAGATTTCCTTTGGCTGCAGATATATGAGCATTTACATAATGGTCACAAGCTGGACATCATGAATGCATTTCTCTACATTTCCATTGTTCTTGGTTTAAGAGATAGGACAGTGCAGGAAACAAATATCCGTGCCCAAGTGGCGCTTACATTCTACTGAAGGAGATAGGAAATAAGGCAAACAGGACAATCAAGTGTGTGTTTGGTGATGAGTTTGTACCACGGAGAATGACAAAGCCGTGGAGAGAAATGGGAAATATATGGAAGAGCTGTACTTTGACTGTGACCAAGAAGACACCCTCAACAGACACATCAGCCATGCATTTTTCTTGTCTAGCAGTGGAGTGGCCTTGTGTTCATTTATTCACACATTTTTGTAATTTGCAGGGATCAGAGCAAACATTTTATGACCAGTCCTTGGGAGTGGTAAAAAGGTAGCTTAGAACAGTGAGAGAGATTATGCCATGCACAAGACCAAAGTTGTTATCCTGGTCAGAACAGGTATATAGCGAACCAACTATCAAGATACTAATGCTAGGGTGCGTGGGTGGCTCAGTCCATTGAGCATCCGACTTTGGCTCAGGTCATGATCTCACGGTTAGTGGGTTCGAGCCCTGCATCGGGCTCTGCGCTGCCGGCTAGCTCAGAGCCTGGAGCCTGTTTCAGATTCTGTATCTCCCTCTCTCTCTGACCCTCCCCTGCTCACGCTGTCTTTCTCTCTCTCAGAAATAGATAAAACATTAAAAAAAATTTTTTTTAAAGATGCTAATGCTTCCCTACTTTAAAGGGGCGTATGTGGTTTGCAGACACTTTCGTATATAATCTTGAATTAAATCCTCTCAATATCATATATGATAGGTATTACGATTACCCTGATCTTCTAGAATCTGAGCCTTGGTGAGGCAAATGGCTTTGGAACAGTGCTCAGAGTGCCAGTCTACCAAATACTCGTCCAGTGGGCTGTCTACTACCCTTAAGAGAGGTTTCAAAATGAGAAAAGTTGCTCCCCACCTTTGTCTCCTTGAGGGACTCTGGTCTCGTCCCCTCTCTTGGTGCCACAGTTTCAGCACTCTGAGGGGACCCAATCCTGCTCAGATCCTTTGTTGTTAATGAATGAAATACAAAACCTCTCAAGTGTTCTTATTTGTCATTCAGCGTGCCGTCCTTTATGTTGCTAAATGACTACTTGGGAATAACACAAAATTGCTCAGAAATTTGCAGGCCGCTGGGTAAACTGACCTTATTTACAATTTTGAGACAAAATATCAGCAAAGCAAACCCATATTTTATTGGCACTAAATTACATGAAGGGCAGTTAGAAAGCTCAGTATTTGTCATTATGATTAAATTTAGGTGTCTAAAGACTGTTAATGTTCTTTGGTTGTTAAATGGACAATAAAATTTGTAAGGCGGTATTGAAAACAGACTTTCATTGGATTTTAAGATTTCATGGCCAAAGAGTTGAGAATCAGAACCGTTTGCCTTATTAAAAATATTAAATTGCTTTTAAATGGCTCTACAGAAACGCATTTTCCTATGCAATTTTCTGTGCAAAATTAAGTCTATCTATCTTGCTAAACAAAAATAATAATTTTGGAAATAGGATTTTAGTGCTGTTTCTCACTGATTATGTTTAAATTAGTTTCGAGGTAATCCTCTGGCAGTCTGTTTGTTCTGCTTTTCTTGCACTTGATAGCTCAGTACCTGGGCCTCCCATGAACTTACTGTGTCTGGGAACCAAGTTCTTAGAGTCTAATGTTCAAGGATTCATGAGACTCCAGAGATGAGGGAAGGACTAAACAGTCACGTCCCCGTGGTGGTCCTTCCATTCCTTCCTGGGTAGAATACCAGGAGCAGTGGCGTGAAGAAGTGAAGTGGCTGTCGGGTGCTTCTAAGATGTGTCATCAGACAGATGCCCTTAGACAGAGGCTAGCACTCACTGCGTGTCCAGTACGAATCGTCCCCATGTCCTCCTTCTTCCCAGTGTCTCCATCCAGGCAGAATGGAGGGTTGACCTTAAGAAAATGTGTACCAGCTGGGATAATGAGGAGGAGAAACATATGTCAAGGAAGATGGCAAACACTAGCTGGGTGACGAGAACCAGATGCCAGTGCCACCAACCCCACAACCTCCATATTGTTGTTCTTCACAGCAGTCTTGGGCCGTGGTGAGGTGGAGGAGAGTGGCCGCAAGCCCAGCTTTGGAGTCAGATGTGGGTTTGTGTCCCAGACCTCCAGAAATTCTCTGGGTGACTCTGGGCAGATTAGCTCCCCTCTAAATCTCTGTTCCCTCAAACGTAAAGCAGAGATAACTGCTCCTCACTCACGGAGTTGCTGTAAGGATTACTGAAGGCAATTCATATTTTCATGAGGGCTGTCTATCCATTTAGATACCAGAGTTGGTTGTTTGGGAGACAAATCTTGTGGAAGAGTCCACAAGGAAAGATAACCAAATTTTGTGTGAATACAGTCAGTTCAGTTTAATTACTAAAATGGCTAAGTGACTAAAAACCACTGTCCCTTTTGTAGTAAGTATCAGGCACACCATTTATAGGTAAAAAACAGATTGAGAAAAGCAACATAACTCGCTCAAGAAAGCAAAGCTGATAAATGGCGGCACCAGGATACAGGTCAGCTCAGGATTCTCTCCAGAGTGAAGAGTACAGTCACTTGCTGTACCTGGAGACTGAGTTTGTGCCCGTGCACACACACAAGGATACACATATGGAACACATATGATCTGTGATACATATATCCAATATGTATGTGTGTGCACATACATGAACAGAGACACACAGACATGTGCAGACACAAATACACACAACACACACACAGAGACATGCACATGTATCTTACACAGCATGTATCTTTATTCATTTGGATAATTGAGCCACAGCTTAAAATACGAAGGGTTTCTTTCCATAATATTCGTTAAGTCTCCCTAAGCCTAGTTCATAGGCCCATAGGGAGTATACACCAGGCAGTTCCCTAAAGAAGGAGAAGCATTTGTTTGCCTACATGCATCCATAGACTTCTCCTGCCTCGTAATTTGTGACCTT